TTGGAATGTTATTGTAATCAATGGAATTTATCTGTCAACGTGGTGGTACACTAGCTGAAAGAAAGAAATGGTTTTATCAAGGGTATTCATTAGAGATTGTTATGCAAAATGCATGCTGAAGAAGCTGCTCTAAAAGCTAAGAATATCTTCTAGATATAATCAATCCTCGGAAATATATCCTATAATACATTCTTTGAGATTTTCGATAAAAAAGGAGTCCAACTTTGTTATATGGCGCGGAGGTTTGGGATATTTCTAATGTAATAGTTTCGGAGAATGTGGACGATACCTATTACATATATTTGCACAGGCGAACACGATAAAATACTGGAGTAATTAGTTTAAATGCCTGTACCAAGATATCATTTTTTTTTATAATATGCTATAACTTTAGGATCCACAAGGACAGACAAACTGGGCATCTTCTGTTCTTCATGGACAGAACAGGACACGGATATACCAGATCATTTCATAGATGCTTTTACTCACATCTTGTAAGATATGTACATTCAAAATTGACATTGTTTTCTATTATTATTTAATAAACTATCACGTTTTTCCCTCTTTACAACCAGTTTCTGTAGAGTGCAATACTTATTCAATGTAACAGTAAAAACATTAAGAATAGCACTTGTAAGATTCAGATATAGCTCACACGAACTCCTCATCGATACAGAGGGATATTAAGAGAAAACAGGAGTGGCCGAGTTCTCGTAGGCTGCAATTGGACAACGCGAAACATGGTTTTCCTCGGTCCTCCGAATGGAATGAGAACAAATACCGGAAGAAAAATTCCTTCTCCCAAAGTAACATTATAACATTAATTTTTATCGCCCAAAATAAACTTTCGAGGTGCAGACGTGTCTCCACTTTAATTAACTTCCTGCATCAGAGATGCTACACATACACATCTACAAGCAGATATGGTACAGATTAGGTCTTCAGTAACCCATGCTTGCCGTAAACGGCGACTATGCTTATCGTAAAAGGCAACTGTGCTTGTCGTAAAAGGCGACTATGCTTGTCGTAAGAGGCGACTAACGGGATCGGGTGGCCAGGCTCGCTGACCTGGTTGATGCATGTCATCGATCCCAATTGCGTGGATCGATGTTCATGACATCAATCACTGGGTTGTCTGGTCCAGACTCCATTATTTACAGACCGCCGTCATATAGCTGGAATATTGGAGAGTGTGGCGTTAAACAATATAAAAAAAACAAGATCATAAGAAATTTAAATCTCCATTTAATTGGAAGATCATAAGAAATGTCCATTGTACGATTCAAACTATATCATAAGCATGTGCTCGCGCTAATGTGGGCCTATGGTGCCCCGACGGTGACACCCGTCACAAACACAGGCAAATAATTATAGATTAAGTGGTATCTTTTTTTATAAATTATTGCTGAAACACAAAAATATCCATGAGATTCCTTATGTTCCAGGTTGTGCACAACTGCGGCCATGGGTCGTACGGTATCAGCATGAGTTGGGGAACCGCCGTCCATGTAGTAGAAATAGTGAAGGACATGGTTAAAACTAAATCGTGACTCTAAATTAACTCCCTTGGTTCACGACCACTGACCAGCATTGACATTCTATCAACCATACAGTAAACTACGGTTATAACGAACACGCTTATAACGAACTAACGGATATAACGAACTAACTTTTTAGTCCCGACTATATGCTGTAGTTTTGCTGTATATATGCTTATAACGCATTACGGTTATAACGAACTAAAATTAGTAGTCCCCTTGAGTTCGTTATAACCGTAGTCTACTGTACTTGCATCGCAACATTTGTCTAAGTAAATCAAATATAACTGTTTTTCAGAAATGGGGGAAACATCATTAAAATGGATACAATGTGATACTACAGTATTGTTTTACATATAAACGATAATTGAGTACAGTGTCAACGATTGTGTAGATAGATGCTCATGATGTCAATCACTGGATTTTCTGATCGAGACTCGAATATTTACAAACCCCCATCATATAACTGGAATACTGGTTAATGTCGGCGTAAAACATCAAGCAAAGAGACCTCACATTTATAATGACGTTGTTGGCATTCTTGACGTCATATTGACCCTGTAACCTATGGACACCGGTTTCAATTAAGACAGCGCCATCTTTTTACTACAATTACTTATAAAATGTGAACAACATAATTATTACATAAATGTGAGAGTGTTACTGAACTCAGGTAATAGAAAAATAGGATTTGTTTCATGAAATAACTATCTTGTGATATTTTATGTGTAAAAGGTGGGCTACAGTCCCCCTTGACGTACTGACGTACACAAAACAGAATAGCGAGCAGAGGCGACACTCCGTTATTCTCATCGATAACATATACACCTGACTATATGCACCCAACATACATTTCATGATAAACAAAGCTGCTGGAAAACCGTATGAATAATGGATACATGTGTCCTCATAAATAAGGCTATGCATACATGTAGGGCTTAATGCAGTCACGTTGTTAGAGATAAGTTATCAGTGGATATAAGAACTAGCGGAACTCTCGGTCGTTACTGTTGAACTCTCAACACTCGTCTTTTTGACGTCCATCAGAAGTAAGTTCATTACACTTGCGTTAAAAAATTACGTGTAGTTACATTCTGTAGCCTGTTTTCGAATAATGTTGTTATTGCGAGTAGATAGATTAAGACCTCTACAATACCGGCCACAGCCGGAGCCTTAATGATTGCTGAATAACTCATTAGTATGCAAATATATCAATGACGTCATAGGTCAGCGAGGGTAAGGAAAGGTCAATGGTCAACATGTAATCAGGCATATAATAAGACGATCAGTGATTAACACGTAAAAGGACGAAACAAGGAAAGATGGCGACGGTCACCACGGTCCTTTGAAATTGAAAGGACTTTAATTTGCCTCGACTTGCCAATGAACGATTGTGAACAGGCATGTTGGCGCGACGCGACGAAGGCTATAGAAACTGTAGGTACACCCTGTTTCGTCAGTCACAACCAACATCTACACCTAACTCAAAAATGCTAATAGAATGAAATTACCCAAGTAAACAGACCAGCACTGAATGTATTATTTCATAGTATGTCATTGTTCATTATAATGTATTTACTAAACTACCATGTTAGCCTTGTAAAATTCCTATACAGTTTAGCCTACTCAAAGTTTGCTAAGGATCACCACTTTAAATGGTAAATTGTGTGGATCAGTTGAAATAGCCAATGACAATATTGTGTGATGACATGTTCAATGAACAAAAGTCCGTTGTCATATGTCACACGATGCCAACAGAAACATGTGACCAATAATCACCCTTCAAAATTAGAGTATCTGACGAGAACTGAAACGTAAAAAGATCACGAAAACAAATTCAGTGTCAAAAAACAACAACACACAGTAGCCGCATGTGATCCACCTGATGAGATCACAGTCTGGCACCGTCGTTCTACTCGTATGCTCCCGATTAGTGTCTGGGTGGTTGTCAAGGGAAGATTGTTCCACTCTTCCATAAGAGATATGCCAAATTCCCGTAGAGTTGCTTGAAGGACAGGGCGTCGTGAGAGGGCGATCTGCAACTCGTCCCACATTTGTTCGATTTGGTTGAGGGCTGGTGACCGGCCGACCACTCCATGCGGACAATGGTCTTCTGCTATAAGTGGGTATCAATGACCCTGGCACGATGAGGTCGTGCGTTATTGTCCATGAGGATGAAGCAGGTCCGATTGCAACAGCATTCGGTTTCACGTACACATCCAGAATGTCATCCTTGAAGCGCACACGTATCATCGTGCCAGGCAGTAGGACATCTCTACTGATCCCATCCCTAATCATGATTGAGCCCATTGCATTGCGGTCATGTTCGGATATGTTAGAATCCTGCAATCTTTCTCCTTGTCTATGCCAAACTCGGACACGTCGATCGAGACAGTATCTCGATTCATCAGAGAAAAACACTGGGTGGAAACTGGACTTTTATAGTTAGTTAACTCTCTTGCCCCGGAAAGATGCAGTGAAATGTACTTGAGCCCAGGCCTTGTCTGTCCATTTTACGTGATCTTCAGCCCAATCCAAACGTGATATCGAGCCTGTGAGATGCGAATGCATGCCCTCGGAGACCAGCCTCACGGAGTCGATTACGCACTGTCTGAGTAGAAACGTTAACGTCACTGGCGTTCCGAGGGTCATTTCTGAGTGTGGTGGCAGACACGAATTGGTGACATGGCGTCAGGAAAAAACTATCTTCCCCTGTGTGAGGGAATGCTGTCGACTACTTGCATGTCACTGAGTAGCTGATCCAAACGTCTAGTAACGATTTCATGCCTTGCTGAACACACTTTGACTAACACCTAAGACTTTTGCAACGTGACGTTGTGCTGACCTAGTTTCAAGAATGTCTTGACATCAGCCTAAGTTCTTCGGTCGTCTTTGACGCTGAGTGGGCATAAATGCTTTGACAGTATTAAACTTATTTCATTTCTGAGACTTCGAAAATTCAAACAAACCCTTTTTACTTAAACAAAACACTACCTTCTTAAACTTAAAATACATCACTATTTTCAGACTTTGACAAAACAAGGAATATATTTGAGGAATATATTTGAAAATAAACCAGAACTTAACTCGTCTGTTATGTACTGTGTGAGTCGCGACAGTGGCTTCAAATACCGGTGCAATCCGATAATGTCCAAAGGTTTGTCAACACCATACCCGTCCTCGTAGGTTTCACCAAAGTGATAAACGTCTGAGATTTGCATTACTTGGGGATTTCCTCCCAATTTAAGCGGCGTTAAATCACATTAACAACAATATGATATCATTTTATAAGTTTGTATATCTTGTTTGTTTTGGGAAATCATTACTTTTCGTCAGGTATAACGGAGGCATCGTGACGACCATGGTTGTGTATTCCTATCACATCTCAAACATGACTATGTCTAGACCCTAGAGTAGAAATTGTATACACTGATAAATAATACTGGTATGTATGTACCTGGCCTGCATGCGTTATGAAGTCACCCTTGCTTAAAAATACATCCGGCTGAATACATGTCACTGCATAAATTATCTTGAAGTTAAAGTTGGGCATGGGCGCTTACCTTGTTTATCCTCGGTCCTTACGCAACATTTTGGTTGTTTGTTTGTTGTTTAACGCCGCACTGAGCAATATGACGGCGGTCTGCAAATAATCGAGTCTGGACCAGACAATCCAGTGATTGACATCATGAGCATCGATCCACGCAATAAGGATCGATGACATGCATATATGGACTTGCTAAATCATTCTAGACTTGAGTTAGACTCTTTTTCAATTCAATCCCCAGGGTCTGGGCGACAGACAAGGCGGTCGTTAGTATACCCAACCAGGATAACCCTCGGACGGAATGGCTCGGGTTGCCGTCATTGGTGCAGGAGTGGTTGGTCTGTCTACCGCTATTAACATCAAGGACTGCATGCCGGGAAGTCGCGTGGACATAGTAGCAGACAAATTCAACCAAGACACGACCAGTGTCGGTGCCGCGGCTTGGATAGTTCCCTGGGCACCGGGGGTCGATGAGGCACTTCAGAGGTAAGATAACACAACAGAGAGGTCAGACACACGACAGTCACTTATTTGTCTGACAACACCTAATTTTGTTTCCTACAAGTCTAGATCTTAAAGCTATCTCGTCAACCTTTTAATAAGCCCCATAAAGAATCGAGAAAATTCGTCATCTTCCTTTTCAACAAACCTTTGTTCTTTGAAAGATATGCACTCTTGCTATACTCTTGAGTGATTGAGTGAAATGACTTTTATTCAGAGAAATTGAACTAACTTAGTCAGTGAATTTCACTGTCAACTCAGAAACTAACATATCTAGTAGATAGTATATCTTCACGTTTCCTCAGCCATTACAAGGATATCAAGTCTGCTGTAGAACCAGAGAAGTATATTAGATGTAACATGATAAATCACTTGTTAGGGCATTATGTGAATTCAGAGTGTCATTACACAATTTCAAAGTAAATTTTACACGTAGATGTGAAAAAAGGGAACTTGAAATGGGTATCTGTGACAACTGCCAATTAGGAGAGATTGGGAATGAATTTCATGTTTTATTAGAATGTGATAAGTATGAACATCTTAGAGAAAAATATATTCTGATGTTTTACAATAGGCATAAAAACAAGATGTTAATGATCGGTCTTATATCCAATAACTTTGCTGTTATACGTTCATTAACCATATTGTTAAAACATATATATTCTCTGCCAGATAGTTTTAATATATCATGTATGTCACGTTACTAAACAAATGAAACTGAAAATGTCAACTCTACAATTGGCCATGTGGCCTTAAATACCGAATAAATAGATATCTATCTAACTTATCAGATGTGTGTGCCACGGAGATTGTTTCAACCAGTATCACCATAACCTTGGTTTATATGCACATTTTTATGTTCATATTGCACTTTGTTCGTTGTAGGTCGTGGATGTTATGCATGTGCCTGTGAATCCGATATGCACAACGATATATTATACATCTCATCCATATTTGACCTAGAACCTGTTGATATGCTCTTTGTTAAACATGTAACACGCTAAACGTGTTTAAAGGTGTTTAAATCTGAAACATGTATGGATTGTGGGGATGCTGCGTTCAGGCTGTGAGGCGATAGCTCATTTCATGTGTTTAGACCCTAAACGTGTTTAGATAGAACAGGCCTTGTATTTGTTTCCATTCTTACACATTGTTTTCAGTGTGGTTTAAGTAGTGAATTATACTAATTTAATAAGTAATATTTACTAATTTTTAGCATCGTCCTGCAATTTGCCAGGCAGGGGAGTAAGTTTGTTTGCTAACCTTCTGGCTTCTAACTAATTAAGTAAGTACAATTCACTGGACATTTCAGTGAAACGATCCCGAGTTTGGGACAGACTAGCCGACCCTATCAGCCACACAAAATATGAAAATAAACAGATGGTAATTATGTATATGCTATGTCCTTTTTGAAGTTAAGAAAGAAATATCCTAACCGTAACATTAAGCTGAGGTTTCTAGAATCACATTTGAACGGGTATTTAAATATAGTCTTTCTATGTAGGAAATGGGGCCGAACTTCAATGGATTACTTCATCAAACTGGCAGTTTCAGAAGACAGTGCAGACAGTGGTGCCAGTATTGGTATGGGGATACATTATGCCACTGGACCACAGGTTAGATCAATAGGGCTTCATCATCTCACCTAGGCAGACTTAACTGTTAGATTAATACTCATCATGTGTTTCCTGTCCATCACAGACCCGTGAAGATCCGGGGTAGAATAGGTCTTCAGCAACCCATGCTTGCCGTAAAAGGCCACTATGCTTGTCGTAAAAGGCGACTAACGGGGTCAGGTGGTCAGGCTCGGCATTGCCTAAAAGTCGGGCCGGGCCGGGCCGGGCCAAGACGGGCCAAAGTGTTACTGGCTAATTACTTCATTATCGGCGATCATACCTACATATAATTGATGCAACATACCCACATAACATTAATGAACAATCACCAAACAAAAAAGTGCACCATGAATAAGTAATTCGGAGTAAATCGCTTGAAAACCAGAAAGTTGAGAAGTGTGTAAGCGTCGCTGATCTTGGTAACATGTAAAAGAGCAATCGTTAAACGAAATAAGATTTCAAACGTATCAAATACTTCTAGCTATCGTGATACAACGTTCCATCTGTGCGCATAGTCTTTATATTGATAGGAATGTTCTATATATATGTAAATACCACTTTATAATGTCACTGATCGTCGTATTTAAAGAAGACACGTTGGTTAAAGTAGACCTCTTCTCCCTATACTCTCAACAGTCACACAAGTGTTCGGTCCGACTTGGCCCGGGCTGTCAAAATCAACTTTCAACTCACAGATGTATCATCAAATGGATTCACATCTTTAGATTAGTATTATATCTACCTAAATACCACTTTATTATGTCACGGTACATCGTATTTAAAGAAAACAAGGTGCTCAAAGTGAAGCCCTTTTCCCTCTACATTCTCAACATAGTCTCTATCAGAAGTGTTTGTCTTGTGTTGGGTCCGACTTGGCCCGGGCGATCAAAATCAACTTTAAACACACAGACGTATCTTCAAATGTGTTTACATCTATAGATTAGTGTTATATCTACCTATATAACACTTTATAATGTCACGGTACATCGTATTTAAAGAAAACAAGGTGCTCAAAGTCAAGCATTTTAACTGTATTTTCTTAAGAAAATCTGTCAGAAGTGTTCGGTCCGACTTGACCCGGGCTGTCGAAATCAACTTAAACTTCACTGATGTATCATCAAATGGATTCACATCTTTAGATTAGTATTATATCTACCCAAATGCTACTTTATAGTGTCTCAGATCGATGTACTTAAAGAAAACAAGGGGCTCAAAGTGAGCCCTTTTCCCTCTAGATTCTCAACATAGTCTCTATCAGAAGTGTTTGTCTCGTGTTGGGTCCGACTTGGCCCGGGCGATCAAAATCAACTTTAAACACACAGACGTATCTTCAAATGTGTTTACATTTAAAGATTAGTGTTATATCTACCTATATACCACTTTATAATGTCACGGGACATCGTATTTAAAGAAAACAAGGTGCTCAAAGTCAAGCATTTCTACTGTATTTTCTTAAGAAAATCTTTGTCAGAACTGTTAGGCCCGAAAGTCTATTTAGGATTTAAATTGTGATTAAGGAAGTAGAGGGTAGAGAGAGAACAAGATAACAAATCTTAACAAAACCTACCTTCCAAACAAGTGCTAATTCGTTCGTATCCGTAATCCGTCACAAACTGTGATGAACGCATAGTGTGTTCGATGAAGGAAATACAGCCCTTCAGATCTTTGTTGACTGAATACACCTTGTTCAGTGATATAATTTATAAGATATTGAAGCTACATATGAATGTATATGATGTCTCATCTTGATGTACTTAAATAATGCAATTCAACAAAGAAGATGTACAGATGCCTCGACAGCATTTTTGGCAGTCAACTACAAGTACAGGTAAACATGGCTTTTAATGCTCATGTGTGTCAAGTTGCCCTTACCTCGCCGTCACATCTGTACACAAAGGAAGTGCATAATCTAAACTAGGCTACATTTGCATTTCTTTAGCCGTTTACAGATGCCTCGACAACATTTTTCACACATGAATGACTTCAACCTTGGCTCTCAACTAGTACAGGTAAACATGGCTATTAATACTCATGTGCGTCAGGTTGCCCCAACCTCGCCGTCGTATCTGTACACAAAACAAGTGCATAGTCTAAACTAGGCTACATATGCATTTCTTCAGCCGTTTCAATAATGCAGTGCGCTGACACAGCATGCTGCATAGGTCTGTACAGCACAATGTATTTTATTAGTAATTGGTCGATCCTTCATAAATCATATTTTTGCCATTCATTTCACATATGCCTCGGTAGAATTGAGGTAGGGGAAGGACTTCTGGTCAGATAACAAGGTATTCAGATATCAGAAACTCGTTTATCCGGACAACATTTTAGAAAAAGCAATTGTCCGGATAAGCGAGGTTCGACTGTATAGCGCGTGATACATGACAAAACAGATGTGTTAGGACCTGATTCGCACTTGCTGAAGGGAAACCAATGGACCCTGATCATAATACATTGGTTGCTTATTATTATTATTATTAAACATATTGTATTGTCCAAACAGACAAAGGGATTGGGCACAAGTGCAGCACTTATTACCACCTTCTCCCTATATACAGTTATACATAATATTGCATAATGAAAATTAACAATTTACAGTTGAAGCATCACATTGTGGAAACATAGTGCGCAATATAAATTTATATACAGTGCTCATATGAAGGATATGTACAATGTGCTGGAAAGTGAAGACAGTGTGCATCTCATACATATGCTAATATTATACATGTTAGTGTTGTATATAGATTTAACAATATTAATGATTAACAGTTTGGAAACAATAATATGCTAGCTACTGAATCTGTTAGTCGTTTCTATAAATTTGTGTACAGACAAGAATATTTTTGTATTCAGGAAAACATCTAAGTTTGGATCACAAAAAAAGAATACTATTTAGAGTTTTTTGTCCTCCAAGATTATCGATAGCTGTCAGTAATGTCTCCCGAATATCATCATATAAGGTACATTGGAAGAAGAAATGGAATGAATTTTCACAAGGAGCTCCGCATTTACAGGAAATAGTATCAGATAATTAACACGAAACAGGTTGGAATTTAGTGTGCTACAATTGTGTCTCAATCTAGTATGCAATATGTTTGTAGATCTCTCACCGCAATTATAGTGCATAGGTGGTGATGTAGGCTGCTCAGATGCGACAGCTTTAAAATAAGATATTGACGGACTATCCCTGATTCCTGATGATAGATTATTCCATTGGCCTAATGTATCTATGATATAAGACCTTTTAAACGTAGATGTCCGTGCAAATGGAACTACAACATCATGGCGGTTTCTGAGATTATAACTGACCTTCTGTAACACAGCTGGTGGTATAAGATCAGTTATATATGAAGGACATGGCTTTATTTTATATTTTATACATAGTTACAAGTTTGTTGACGTTTCTTCAATACACTTAGATATATGTATCCACGTCACACACACCTAGAACAAGTACACTTATTTGAATATACTAATATTACATGAATGTTACTGAGCAGTCAGTTAGAGTTTATATCTTTGCGCTTAATCAGCAACATTAAGCCTTTCACGTATATTACAACTTTGTATGTTAACTTTCCTTTCCAGAAATACGATAGCATGGTGACAGAGATAAACTTCTACCCCAAGAGATGTGTCATTGACTAAAATCTGCTTTGTTAATTTGATTTCAAGTGATAACCTTCACCTGGAAGGAATTTATATTTGTATTATTTCAATTTTTCTTTTCATATATATCCCTCTGAATTTTGGGTTTTGAAATAGCATGTCGCAGAAATAACTTCTGTTGGACCCTTAGACTTGCAAGAATACTCTAAGCATTGGCCAAACCATGCCCCATTTGTGCTTCTTGCTTTGTCAGACCAAACCCATACTGTTGAATTTCTCAAAAGCTTTAAAAGGGTTAAAGCTATTTTTGGAAGTATAAATGGGTTGATTGGTGACTACCACAGAAGTAGCAAATGGAGTTATGTCCGATGAAATTCTCTGTTTTGACTTGTGCTAATCGTTTCCGTGTGTTTCGGGTTTAACAACTAACTTGCCTTTGCGTGTGTTTGTTCCACCGGTGGTGCAGGATACGCTCACCTCTATGCAAACACCTGTTATCCTCACTGTTTGATAGTAGTTTATACACGTAAGTATGTATAAGTTGTATGTCATCTTAAAATATCAGTTGTGTTATCCCTCTTTGTGGGGTGTACTACAAACATAAATCAAAGTTTCTTTTGAGCTATCATGAATATCATAAAATACTTAGCAAGTCTATGCTTATCATTCCCTCTACGCCTACCAAAGGCTCTAATTGTGGCTAATTGTTACATATTCTTCACGAATACTGTAAATCATGAAACGTGTAACCATATTAATGCGAGTTTAGACCGCTGGCTAGACTAACATCTAGTTTCTGAAATGAACATATTTTACAAAAATAAAAACAATTGTTTGATTATATTGATAAAATATTTAACTGCAGTAATCTAGTCTTGCCAAATATGATTGACTTGCATCGGCTGTATTGGATATATTTGTTTCAGGAACTGTATGACAGGCCTAAAATGCGTCACGAAAGTAATGCGATTAACTTTGCTTTTGACCTGTAAAAGCTAACCAGCAAAAGAAAACACGGCGCCGTTGTTTACAATGAACGCATGTCTAAACAAACATCCTTTTTTATATACTTAAGTAGAAGTATCACGATGGACAGTGCATACAACTGTTTGGCAAACAATATCAAGCAATATTTTAGATTCAGAATCAACATACCATGACATAACAGAAACATATATATTAAATTGTATATATTCATATTTGCTGCTATTCACGATAAATTTATCTTACCGTCACTGTTTAAAACTACTCTGAACTACTTGTATGTATAGATCATCTTATTTGTAAACAGTAGGCGCACGTATTATATATCTAACAGTTACAAAAGTCTGCTGAAATCTTCTATTTCTTTATTATGTAAAACACTCCAAATATAGTTGTCATAATGAACA